AGGCCTATAGTCCTTATTTCCAGTCTCTGTGCATGAAAGTAGCTTCCAACCTCTGCAACTTCCTTTCAATTACTCAGTGCTATTTTAGGAACAGTAAGAGTTCTGACTTGGAGTCCATTTAAATGAGTCAAAAAAAATTTTTTTTTAAACAACAGTGTTTACTAAGAAAAGACTTCTCACTCTTCTGATCCCTTTTATCGGGAAGGGCTCATGAGTACAAGTCTTGATTACAGTTGCCTTCAAGACCAGTTTTGAAATGTCTTTCGTTTCCTTGAGCAATACATTGGTTGCCTAATCATACTATCCAACTGAAAGCAAGAGGAAAATAGAGTCAGTTTAACCTAACCCAAAGAAGGAACATGTTTCCTGGCATGAGAATGTGTCAAAGACCGCATAGCGTGTCCTGACTCCCCTGTGTCATCAGGGCTGTATCATGTGTTGTGGGTAAATTATCTATTTTGTAAGTTAGGCCAAAGTGTGCTCTTTCAGCTAACTGTGAAAGCACTCTCGAAAGCCCATGAAACCTTATTATTCTAATGACCAACACAAGGGGTTGATAAATGAATTATGAGGCCAGGTATTATCGCCATTAAATAGATCTCACTCAATTATTTATACCTGGGTCTGGGGTTACAGAGCAGGGAGCTGTGCATACTGTACCAGGGCTGTCTGGAGCTCCAAGACCTGGAGACCAGGTTACGGACTTGGCAGGCAGCTTCTGTTGAATGCAATTCAAGGGAGTGACACACATTTTTCAGTCAGACATTTGGATGGTTTGAAGCCAATGGATATTCAAAGTTTATCCACAAAATCTTATTCATTTTATCTGTGCAAAAAAAAAAAAAATCCCTTTAAATTATCCAGATACCTACAAATGGGTAGGAAGGTGAATTACCTTTAGGAAAAGCATAGACATTTTCTTGCTTTTTAGTTTTCAGAGGTTCTGCTCTTTTATTTTCTTGGATTCTGATATCTGTAATGGGCACGTTAGTGTGATAAATAGCAGTCAGTACTCATCTCCATATTGGATAGTTTCTTTTTTTTTTTTTATCTTATCCCTAATAGCACAGTGAAAGATGTTGTCTTCTGGTTAAGAAATCTGTTATTGGAGAGGGTGGGATTAGGAGGAACTAGGTTTTTGTTGTTGTCCTCGTCGTTGTTTTTCTTGTTTCCTGAAATCATGCAATTCATCGCAAAGGTTAGCCTGGAAAATAGTGTTAAGAGATGTTCTGTCACTGAGTCACCAATTTCTTCCTGTGCAATGTCCCTTCTTCTAGGCCAGCAAGCTGCAAAATGTATTCCTTATATCCCGAGAGCATCCTATAAGGAAGTTCAAGAATCTGTTCTTGCTAAAAAAAAAAAAAAAATTACTTTCTTCCCACCCTGTAACCACTGGCTTTGTTTTAACATCACCCCCTAGACTTCTGATGAGTTGAGTCCTGTACTTACTTTGGCAAGAGTGGGCAATAGGGAACAGAAGGAGCTAGAATGACTCTTCAGGGATCTTTCTGGTATAAAACTTGGGGAAGGTTATTTGGAGAACTGAGGAGGTGGGTAAGGCATTAGGACAGAGAAGAAATTTCTACCTGAGACTACGTGGAGTTGAGCGAAGTCCAGATTTTTATCTGAAAATCAATGTCAGTATATGTATGTTGAAGGTGGGGTGGGTTAGTACTTGGGAGAGAAAGAGGAAAGTATGCCTAGCATCAGGAAAACTTGTCAGTTGAAGAAACAAATGATAAAACCTTGTTTAGATTGCTCCCAAGGAAAACCATATTTATAATAACTGACAAAAACCTTATGAATGCCATGTAAATAGGTTTCGATATTATTAGATGAATTTATGATTAATTTTGTGGTGATTGTAATTTGGTTATAACCCTGACTTGCCTCTCTCTCTTAAATCTTGCTAGTTTAATGATCCTATAATACAATCATCAGTTCACAAAATTAAAAGTCTTGTCAGAAATATGAAGTAGAATAGCTATATCTTTACACTTACGGCTGTTGAGAGCAGTCATGTTTTCTAATTGGCCACTCATCTAGAAAGTGATGTAACTCTAAAAAAACAAACTGAGCGTCTTTTAAATTATCTGCTAAGTACCCAGAGTAGAAGATATGCCCATAAAGTGGGCACTTTACATTTGAAAAACAAATTTTGATTTTACTACTAGGAAGAATGTTTGATTCTCTATTTACATGTGTTTATTAGAATGGAATGATGTGATGATTCCCGTGTATACTTGATTGTACGAATTTCAACATTTTTGATGCCAGATAATTGAACTACAGTCAGTTCCACTATAACACCATGTGTAGGTTCCTAAAACCCATCACACTGTGCAAAATAAGGCAATGAAAAACCACAGGGCTCATAGGAAAACTGGGGCCAGGGGAGTAATACTCAGAAATACCATCAATGACACATTGACAAAGATGGGTATAAAACGGCGGCCAACAGTTTACACAAAATTTACATTATGCTTAAATTGTTCTGTAATGCATCAATCATGTTAAAACAGATTTTCAGTTCTGAACCAACTGTTACAAGAAAATCCACTGTGTAATAATCCCTCCAACACTTCCACACTTTCGATCTCCCCTTCTTCTTACCACTGGGCGAGCAGGGAAGTCGTCACTCACCCTCTAGTTTGTGTGTTGAGGAGTCTTGACCTGCTAAAGGCCATGAAGTAACTAAGGGAAACTGCAGATTGTGCTCGTGTGTGTGAGTCCTGGGCATGCATGGTTTCTTCTGAGAAACAGGAACCTCCTGAATGAATGTACAGAGGGGGTCAAAAGACAGGCAAGGTCACAGAGACAAATCACAGAAGATGGGTCAGAATTCAAGTTAGAGTCAAGTTGAGTTTAGTTCAAGATTGTATAAAAGTCTGTGAGGTAGCTGCCATGCTCACTCCTGCCATATCATTTCTAGAAAATATTGTTAATGATTAAATGGGATATGTTTCCTTGATTGCAGGGATGGGGAAACCCAGCCATGAGAGCTCAGTTGTATTTTTTGATATGGCTTCATTAAACATTTTAGAATGTGTAGAATGTTTTAGAAACCATTTTGAAATTAATCTTCATAGCTCAGAGATGATGTCAAATGTCAGGGCCAATCTAGTAACTCTTCCCATTTCCAGGGGTCTGCTCTAGTAAGTTTTCTTTCTTTTTTTTTTTTTTTCTTTCCTTTCCTTTCCTTTTCTTTCCTTTTCTTCTTTTTTATTTTCCTTTCTTTTCTTTTCTTTTTTTTTCCCATTTTTTCATTTTTTAAAATACATATATATATATATGTATATACATATACATATGTATATACATATATATATATTTTATATATATGTATATTTTATATACATATATATGTATATACATATATATATATATTTTATATATATGTATATTTTATATACATATACATATGTATATACATATATATATATATATATATATATATATTTTTTTTTTTTTTTTTTAAGAGAGAGAGGGAGAGAGAGAGAGCACACAAAAGAGGGGAGGGTCAGAGAGAGAAGCAGACTCCCTCCGAACTGGGAGCTAGATGCTGGGCCCTGTCCTGGGACTCTGGGATCATGACCTGAGTCGAAGGCAGACACAACCAACTGAGCCCACCCAAGGGCCCCCTGTCCTATTAAGTTTCTGGGAAGACTCATGTAGAAGGGTACAATCCCAACGTTTAGGAGGGACTTTGCTTCAGAGCATTAATTAATGTGGAAAATACAATTATTGGATACTCCCCTCTCTATGTGTATCTCAAGTACGCCTCTCAGCTCCACTTCCAAAAGGTTTAGGTTTATTAAGCACATCTTCTGCTCAAAGTAGTGGTCGGTGCTGTGGGGGATACAGAAGGACAAGATCCTGTCCCTGCCATCAAGGAACTCATTGGGGGGTTCTGTCTGATGACTGAAGAGAATCTACTCCATTGCCCTTGTGTTTTTATGGCAGAATATGGGTGGGTGCAGAGACGCAGGTGGGTGAGGAGGCCCCACTGTGGAGTTACTGGCTAAGTCAGCAGGTGTGTGTTGGGTTCTGATCACTGGGCGTTATAAAATCACGAGTTTAGCACTGTCACTAATTTACTTTGTATGTTAATAAGTTTATTTATAGTCCTATGTTGAAGGGTCTTACTCTGTAAAATCACACATTCCAGGAACCATTCAGCTGACAATGTTGTGGCTGTGGAAAGGCAGTCCAGATTTGGGTTCTTCTGGATGATGCCCTCTATAGCCCCTAAAAGGTCAAGACAATCCTGGGCCACCCCTGTTCATAAAATTCTTTTCTCATATCCAACACAGAACAATAGCAAAATTGGCCAAAGTTACAAAACTGCAGTACATTTAACATTGACCATTTTGCTGAGTTCATGGTTTTCTACACACACACACGGACACTAATGTGACTGCTATAAATGTGTAACTATTTGGGAATAATGTTAAGGTTTATATTTGAGGCTCTTTTGGATTGTGAAGCTCAAAATATTCCTTTCCTTTCCCTTCTTCCCTCAACCCCACTTGCTGACTGCTCTGCTTCAAGTCATAACTGGTTTTATGAGATTAAACACCAGGTCTGTAAAGTGTGTTCTATGTCAGTTTGTCCTAAACTCCTTGACTTTTTTTTTTTTAAGAGTTTTAAAATAAACATTCTGACTGCCAGAATCTGAAGTCAACTTTGGATTCAATTTTATATGTGGTAGAAATGAAAAGAACTAGCATTCTCTATTTTGACACTTAGCATAAATTCCTTGCTTTTTCATGACTCCAGCTGATTAATAATAATAAGTGAGCCTAAAATATCTTATTCTTCCTGGCCAGAATTAAAAAGCTTAAACATCTATTACAAGCCCTGAGCTTGAAATAGAGCTTAAATTAATATGCTAAGGTTCTAGAAGAAATAAGGCTGCAAACCTAATAAAATGAAATGTCCATTACCTCTCTTCCATGATTCTCAACTATCCCTCCTTTACCCTTATTTTATTTTCTCAGGGAAGCAAAAAAATTTGTGAGTGAAAATGAAGGAGCCCTTGGGAAAGGGAAAGGAAAGCGGTGGTTTGCATTTAAGATGATGATGGCCAAGGTAAGCATTTTCGCAACTCAGTTTAGTTGATGCCATGCATCTCAATGGCAGCCATATTGATTCCAGGAGGGAGAAAATTGGTTCTGTTATGGGAAAGGGAAAATGTCTTACATTTTCTATGTACGAAGCATGTACACACATAAAGTAAATACACAGTATATCTTTGTAATAAAATTTGGGATGTGATTCAGAAAACAAATAAAAAAGCCCCAAAATACTACTTAAAGGAGTTAAAATGAAAAATAAGTTGAGAAACATTGATTTATGGCAGAAGACTTACTTGTGTGATTTTTCTCACCCCTAAATGGCAAAGACTGTGCCCCTTTGATTTTTATTCCCCGGTAGTGAAGGGGTTTGGGTTACAGTTTCTTTCTCAAATGTCTACAAGTTTTAGGCCATATACCTCTTCTCTATAAAGAACATCAACTACAAATTGAATAGAACATGAGAAAAAAAAGTGATACATCAATATAAACAGATTCTTGGAAAAGATAGAAAAGAAACTAACATTTATTTAGTATATACTATATGCAAAGCACTGAGCTGAATCCTTCAATTAAGTTATCATATTTAATTCTCAACGCAAAGTAGGTATGCAGGCATTATTATCCCCCTTTACAATTGTTACCCCACCTGTAAGCTAAATGCATTTCCATACAATGGGGTTTTGTGAATAAAATTAATAAATCTTAAACAGGAAATAGAGATAGAAAGATTTATGATACATGTCAGGGATTAATTTTGCCTGTTCTTATCATTTAAATGAATAGAATCATATGATATTTATACTGTTGTTTCTGCCTTCTTTGATGCAATATGATATTCATAAGATACATTCATGTTGTGGCCACTGTAGTTCATTTTTATCAGTCTGTTGTAATCCATCGTATGAAGGCACCACAATTTGTTCATCCATTCTCTTGTAGTTGTCTCTAGTTGGGGCAATCTTTTGAACTTCAGACTTGTCTCGTACTGTTATTTGGGGCCTACATGCCTGTCCATCTCACATGTTATCTCAGGATAATGCACACTTAACGTGAAGTTATGCGCCCCATTCCCATTCTTCCATGTGGTCCTTGTGGTCCTCTTGACCATGGATGACCCAACATTGTGGAATAAAATGGAATGAAGGTCTTTTATAAAAACTGTGAATCTTTTTCTTCCTCCCTTTTCTGTGATACTATGCCTTTCCATTTAATTAGCTCTCTCCTTGTACCAGAATAAAAATTGTCCTATGTCGTAACACCATCCTCTGTTGAAGTCTCTTGTTTATGTTCAGCTTACTCTAGTAGACCCAGCAGCCCTTCAAGGCAGAAGCTGTGTTTTACTCATATTTCATCAGTTTCTTCATGCAATGAATGAATATTTAATTAAACACATACAATTTGCTGATCGCCTAATACCGGGTGCAAACTCAGTCCCTGCTCCCTTATTGTTGAGCAGAGTACACAGATCTGTCTCAGCCTATTTGCTGTAAAACAGGGGATGCATCAAAGCTGTTTGAATTGAATTGGTGTGGGGGTGGGTGAGGAGCAGGGAGGCAAGTAAAACCTACTGTTTTCCCTTTTTACAAAAAATCTTATGTGGCACCAGAGAAATCTTTCCAAGTTCATTGTCTTGTGATATTTTGGGTTGGGGGCGAAAGATAAACCTCTTGGCAAACAAGAGGCTGGGTTTTACTGTTGTATTTGGCTTTCTTTTCAGAAATGGGCAAAATTTCTTCGTGATTTTGAAAACTTCAAAGCTGCCTGCGTCCCTTGGGAAAATAAAATCAAGGCGATTGAAAGTAAGTGCTCATGAGATCTCATTAGATGGGAAGGTTGTTTCATAAACTTACCAGATGCCTTTCTTAGTTTCTGTACTATTGGGAAGGTTAAAAACAAGAAAACAAACAAACAAAAATAACCATTTTGTACATTTTCTTTGTTTACTGTGAAAATTTGTGAGCACTTCCCAGTCACAGCATTGGAGACCCTGCTCTCCTTTTTTATGTTAGACCCAAATATTCTCATTCTGACCTTTTCTCTTCTATACAGGGAAGTCAGTATTGTGTCCAATGACGCCGAGTCATAAGTATCACGAGGAAGGCTGCGATTTTATATTGGCAATGAATATGACATTGAAAATATATATTCTTGTGAGAGACAGTGATCAAAATGAACAATGTCTAAAAAGAATGAAGAAATTTTAAAGCCTCATTTTCAAATCTGAAGTAGAATAAGTAATCATCATCCAGGAACTTGCTATGTGAATGTTATATTGTGCCTTCATTTGATACGGTATTTCTAGGGTATACAGAATATACTCATTGAAAGCCTATTTAGAACAGTGCTCTAGGCTTAAAATAAGGCAAGTAAAAATTTTAAAACATTGTAAATATAATAAATAATTTCTTAAACCTATAAAGGAAAAAATAAAACATAAAAAGAATATAAGAAGAGTAAAGAATATAAAGAAAAAGGGATAATATCTGAAACAATTCTGAGCATAATCTTGCCATATTTTGGTTTCTAAGAGTTTTGACTAGGATCTGATTTTCCTCCCTGACTTTTCAGATCAGGAGGCAGGTTTTCCTGCTGGTTAAATGTGGCATTGCATAATTGAAATGGAGGCTCCATAGGGAGATAACACAGTTGATGGATATTTCACGGACATGATTGGGCATGTTTTAGGAGTGCCTCTCCTCAGTGTTCTGTCTCTCATTATCAGGTGGCAATGAATTAAAAATACATCAGCTAATTAATTGCACTTCCACAGATTGCTGTTGTGCCCCGTCATTGCTTTATTTTCCTCCTTAATACTTGCTGTGTAAAATACTGTATATTTAATTTAGTTTTTAGTGTAATTTCATTTCATTTTATTTTATGTTTACTTCTTCTGGTAGACTACGAAAGCAGAGGTTTGGTTTGGTTTACTCCTGGATCACCAGACCTAAAATTTGCTTGACTTTAATAAATATGCATTGAATAAAACTAAATAGTAGATGTCCTTCAAATGTTTGCCATTCTAGGAAATGCAAAAAAGAATTTAGACCCAGCAGGGCAGAACAGACACCGTGGAATCCTTATGTTTCAAGCGTGCAGCTCAAATGTGGTACCTTGAGAGGCACTGAGGAGCGGAAAGCCATTTGGAACATTAAGGTCTTGATACAATTTGTGTGGAAAGAACTCTGGATTTGGTTCTTTGCTTTGCTGTTCAACTCTGAGGCAGTCATTTAATCCCTCTGGGCCTCGGTTTATTCATCTATGAGATGATAGGATTGAATCTTGATAGTCATGAGATGTAGCCCAAGAAATTCGTAATAATGAGAGTTAAAATATGTACATTTGCAGATTATTTATTTGGAAGGTCCACTGTCTAGCTTGTCTCAATAATAATGTCCTGCCCACCTGTGTTGCAGTGGCTTATCTTGAGTGGGATGGAAACCAATGGACTTACTTTTCTTGCCAGGAAGCTCACACAGGAATGAGTGACAGTACGACTACCATCCAGCGTGTGTGTTACTGAGGGAAAGACAGATCGAGAGCCATACTTTTAGTTATATTCCTTCCTCCCCTCTTCCTCCAGGAAATTTGGAACAGTCAGCTGGATAACTCCAGCAGATGCGGATTATTTTCTCTTCTGTATGCAATTTTGGGTTTGATTAGGTTGTCCTGATTTCTCCACCTTTGTGGAGAAAGTGCTTTGCCTCACTGTGAAGAATTGATCCTTATTTTCTATTCCACCAACAACGGCCACAACCACCCCTCTTCACGTGTCACCTAGATACCCTACAGACACTTCATATAATCTCAGACATGCCTGCAGTGTGCCCATTATGCTTCCTATTTTCAAGTCGCAGTTAAATCAAGGTCCCAGAATGAGTTATCAGAGGAGCTGAGAAGTCAGGAAGTCTCTCTGACTCCACAGCTTATGGTTTTTCTCAATGGGGCTTACTCGTTTGTTACTTGAAGGAAGATTTTATAAACTTTTCCTTCTGCCTCAGGATGAGCAGTTAGAAATTTTCTTGATCATTATCTTATTTGGGGAATTGTGTCCCATTTTCTCATGTGTTTATTTTGCATGAGTTATTTGTTTAATTTTGTACTTAAGTTTCTCTAAGATGCTTAATGCATTATGATCTTAATGGTAATCATCGGTACATCATATGCTTTTGGGCTATTGTAGTAGTTGACAAGTGGGAAGCCTCTCTAAGAGGCTTAGTATTAGTATTAGTAAAGTCATTGAGTTGATTGGGTTGTACCAGCCATCTCATAGAAAGGACCCTACGGAGGACAGGGAGGCAGGCATCTATGATGGTCTTTGAAACTTAAGTAAATGGAAATTGGGAAAGAAATGGGGCATGCCGTCAGTTTTCTAAAGGTTGAGGTTCTTTTGCCCCTGACTGGATCTATAATATGGATAATCCTTTTATACTTGGGGCCCTCTGTTTGTACATTTGGAGCTTCCCCCAAATTTGGGGTTTAATTGGTTCCTATGCAAGGCAATTTCCAACCTAACATTCTATGATTTATAAGTTACAATCAGCTTGAGATTTATATGTAAGCAGATGAAGTTCTTTATACTTTTGAGTGATAAATAATTGAAATGGTTAAATGAAAAAGAGACTTACAGTGACAGAGGCCTGCATAATTTACCTTCTCCACTAGTTCTTCTTAGAAAAAAGTAGATTAAATATGTACCCTATTTATAAAATACATATTTCATATTGTAAAATAACACCAATACTTTTCCCTTACAGAAATGACCATTTAATCCTACAGAAGTGTCAGAAATACTATTATATTCCTTTTGAAAGTCAGAATAATCTAACATACTACCTCATTTAATCTTCAAAATAAACTTGGCTGGACTGATTAATTGAGCAAATATTCACGGAGTACCTGCCATTATTCGGCCTGTTTCCAGGCACTGGGCATGCAGTACTGAAAAGGACAGTCAAGGCTCAATCTTACATCCAGTTATGTTAATATGCATGTGGGTGGGGAAGACAGGTCATAAAGTAGAAACAATTAAATCATGAAGAAATTTCAGATTGTGGTCAGAGGCATGTTTAAAACAGGAGCAGCTAAGTTCCATTCCAAAGTCTTTCTAATCCATTTGCCCTCATTCTCTGCTCAATCTCTAGATAATACTAAACAAGTATTTTTTTAAGTGTGGTTTTAAGAGAGTCCCAAATTGCCAGCTTTCTCTGAGTGTTTATAAAACTCTAATAATTGGCAGAATGGAGAGGGGAACTTATGTCTAAAACTCATGCTTGATCATATCTTGATTCCAGTAAGGCCTGGATTCCTTTGTGAGTGTGGACTAGATAGTTACTTAAGGACCCCAGGTGGTTTTTTGTTTTTGTTTTTTTCACATCAAAAATAGATTTGACCATTCCTGCCACAAATGGATGCTGTGAAATTCTACATCACGTGGGGCTGCCGTTGAATTTTACTCTCACGTCGGCCTTGTGAAGAGGCCATGCTAAGAACCCCAGGATTACCCACAAGGATACACCATATTAACTACATTGTATTACGTATTTTGCTGAAAAAGCTGTGTATTTGTACTCCCAGGAAATATAGTCTATATCCATTGTGACTCCAGAATTATTATCAAAACCATGGATTAAATCATGGAATGTCCTTCGATCTGGAGATTACAAGTCTTTCTCAGAAGTGAAATCTACTTCTTCCTAATAGTAAAGTATGGCATTAAAATAAGATGTGAGTGACCTATTTTTCAGACTGGAAAGATCTGTAGATAGACAACCCTAAGAACAGAGTTTCTTCAAGTTTCATGTCTTCATGTTTCCCTACTGGCCTCAGAGCTGCAGAAAATGGAAATCAAATTTGCCACGTTTAATTCCCCTAGGCCAGTTCGAAAGAAACTATGCTTCATGTCCTAGCCTAATGAGATGGTATTTATACTGTGTTCATACAGCAGGTGATTAAATTGGTCTTTTTTTCCCCCCCATTTAGAAATGCTCATATTTGTCTGCCTGTCTTATTACCCATCTGTTCAAGAGGAAATTATACATGATGACAGACTATAAATTACTTTGCCTTAATAATAAATAACCAAAGGGAGAGGTGAAACTTTAACCTTAGTTTAAAAGAAATGCAAGGAAATTCAGCAACAAGAATATTGCATAAGCTTAAAAGGCCTCACTTGAATATGTACCAAGGACTTTGTTTTACTATATTAATAATTCATTATGGAAACAGAATTTATTAGATTAAAGAAAAAAAAGAATTTGTCATTTCTGGGCACCGTTCCAATTTATGAATGTGAATGGCCTAGCTGATTGGTGGAAATTGCCTATGTTTTTCCAGACATACACATTCATGGCTTATTTACTCCGTATATTCTAGGTTTTTTTTTTTATATATAATAGTGTTATTACGATTCTACTTGAGTAGCAGTATACCACTGTGGTTAAGAGAGATCTGGATTTGGAGTCAAACACCTACAGATCAAGGCTGCCTAGTTTAGAGCCCTGGCTCCATCATTGACTACCTATCACGTAACTCCCTGTGTAACCCTGGTTCCATCATTTACTAGCTGTGAAACCCATGGGCCCAAGTCTCTGTAAAGTGAGAGTATAGGAGTTCTCTTCTTGCAGGAATTCCATGATGACTAAAGGAATTAATACACAAGATCAAAATAGGTACTGAAACCAAATTCATTAAATGTTAGCTATTACTGTCATTAATCAAATCTTGGTTCAGTCAAATGCTGTGTTTAGGTTTTTGGTTCCCCATCCACACAGTGGGACTAATAACACTTAAACTTATCGGGTTCTAGAAGCAATAAAATGAGCTAACGAAGTTTACAGTAATTGAAGTTTATGCATAATTGACCAGCAACATATGTCAGCTGTTACTACTAGTACTACTACTAATATTGCTACTACTACTACCCATTCCGGTTCTTTTTTTTTTTTTTTAAGATTTATTTATTTATTTATTTATTTGGCAGACAGAAATCACAAGTAGGCAGAGAGAGAGAGGAGGAAGCAGGCTCCCCGCCTAGCAGAGAGCCCGACGTGGGGCTCCATCCCAGGACCCTGGAATTATGACCTGAGCCGAAGGCAGAAGCTTTAACCCACTGAGCAACCCAGGCACCCCCCCACCCATTCTTGTTCTTTACAAGAGTAAAACAATTTAATCTAGGAGACTAAGCACATGGAATGACTGTTCTTTTTAATTATGATTTCTTAGCTACACTTCAGGAAGTTTTCTCTTTTCAGTCAACGCCAGATTTAGCCACCTACCTCTGATCAGACAGAACCACTAGGATAAATGGATATGAAGAGGAAAGATTTCTCCTTTTTTATTTTTGTGTTGAGACAGGGAAAGGTCCTGTGGAGCTTGGATGCCAACCGGTTGATTTGTGTTCTTTCCTTTACAGTCTTTCTTTTGTCACTGATGTCTGCCCTCTGCCATTGATAGGTGTTCTATAGAAGGAACAACGTCTTCTGGATTTCTTGGTCTCTTTGACCTGTGTCTGGGTCATTTGTACAATCACTACTTTTAATGAAATCTGTTTTCCTGAAATTCATTTCCTTTAGATTTAGGATTGTGTAAAAAAATAAGTAAGGAAGGGGGGCTGCTTAATGGTTACTTCTCTACTTCCAATAAAATGGTTGTGAAAAAATGGAGCTTGAAAGCTTTGGAGTCTAAAGTATATTTCATCCATAATGAATATAGATTATATCTGGGGGAGGGGATATTTTCAGAAGCATTATAATTTGCTTCTCTTTTTTGCCTTTAGGTATATTTGTACTCTGTATTCAATTTAAGAAATTTATTTGCTAGGGTTGTGCATGGAGGCTGAGAGAAGGTGGGTGGTGGGTGCTAACGAGAAGAGCAAAACTTTAAGAAGGAAGGAGGGAAGGAAGGGAGGGAGGGAAAGATGGAGGGATGGGGGAAGGAGGAAAGGATGAGTCAGCACCACGTGCTTAGGACTCTATACCAGAAGATCTCGGTGTTTCAGGAAAAACTTGCTCCAGATGCCTAGAGGCCAAGTTCCTTCTTCAGTTAATGAGTAACCATAATGACTAGCAAGCAAGAAGTCTACTGCCTTCTATAAAACCTGACACGTGAACCCGGCTGTGGCGGGGCTTGGGCAGTTGTTACCAGAGAACATAGGTAACAGTCCTGAGATGATGGGAAATCACTGGGAGCCAGGTGGATGATCAGATGTCCTGGAAGGGCAGATCTGCGCAGCCTTTCTGCAGATGGACCTGTGCATTGGGTTACAGCTCCTGTGGGCATGTTTATCAAAACCACACGCTTTTAGAAATCCAGTAGAACTCTGCATCTCTCTACAAAGGGAAATGGATCCAAACATTCAGACTAAAAAATAATTGATTTTTTAAAATGTCCATTTACATGCCTTTTTTTTTTTTTTTTAAGTTCCTATAAAAATGGTCACTAAGCTTTGGGAATAGGTGAGGCGGGTCCTAGAGAATAGACCTGAGTTTCAGAAAGGGAAGCATGACTCTCGTGTGAGCTCAGCCTTATCTTACTAAGCAGAGACTGGAATTTGCTTCACCTGAGCCTCCTTCTTCCTGCAATGTTTCCCTACTGGTGACGCTGCAAAGCCAGAGGGCCAAGAAAGCCATTGGTCCCTGGACGTGTTTTGCTGAATGAGTTGGGAAAAAGGGCCTGATGGGGTGGGCGGCTGTGAGTGTTCATCATTTCTTCTTGGGCAACTGCATAGGGGCATTGGGAATTGGGAAGAAAACTAGCTACTTGATGTTGAACTTCAAGTGATAAAGAAAAAGCGTGGCTTTTGTTATCAGATGAATTCTCAACCTGAGACTCCAAATTCCTGTTCTTTCTTCCTCTTCCATTCTCTGATTTAAGATACATTTTAAAAAATTTTTTTTTCTCGTGGGGCACCTGGGTGGCTCAGTGGGTTAAGCCTCTGCCTTCAGCTCAGGTCATGATCCCGGGGTCCTGGGATCGAGCCCCACATCGGGCTCTCTGCTCAGCAGGGAGCCTGCTTCTCCTCTCTCTCTCTACCTGCCTCTCTGCCTGCTTGTGATCTCTGTCCAAAAAAAAAAAAAAAAAAAAATCTTAAAAATATTTTTCTCGTAAATACCATTTGGACAGATCACTTTCACCCGGGGCATGTGCAGGTTGATGGCACATTCTTGCCTGTCCCCTCCCAATTCATTTCCCAAAGCTGAAAAGAATTTAAAGGTCCCATTCTACCCCACTCCCCACCCCGCTATTTAACACCTGTTGGGTGACTTTCTCAACAATTTAAAATAAAAGTCTCACTTCTTACCTGTCCTTAGGAGGCCCTATGCAGTGTGGTTTGTCTCGTCTCTTCATCATCATCTGTCACCGCTTTCCCTTGTTTATTGGGCTCCAAGCACATAGCCCTTTGGTTTGTTCCTCAACTGTCCTGAGCTCTTGCGTGTGTCCAGATATTTGTTCTCGCTCTTTCCTCCGCTTGAGCTGCCCTTCCCCAGCCGGGGCTTTGCTTCCTCTTTGTCCAGCTTGAGACAACTGCTCAGATGTTGCCCTAATACACCTTTCTCAGCGAGCTAATCAAAAGCAACGCTCTCAATATTTTACCTCCTTTCTCTAGGACCCATCTGGTTATAATGATTACATATATTTATAATTACATATATTTACATCGTTATAATGATTACATATATTTATAATTATTACAATGATGCAATCGTATGTGATTTTATATATAATACATATGTATCCTATATATGCTACATGCATATATGATACATCCTAAAAAATAGATACTATACCATGTATATGAATATGCATATATAGTGTATAATATGACATATACTGTACATACATTTAATATGATATATAATAGAATGTAGCATATATATTATGATAAATAGATACATATTTTATTTGTTTTTAAAATTCCTGCCTCTCTGTTGTTTCCATACCTCACTAAAATGTAAGTTGCATCAGGGCGATAACCCTGTCTGTGACATCGTGTTTCGCATCTAAGATAATTCCTGACAGAAGATACTTTAAATATGTGAAGAGTGAGGGAATGAACTTCAGCTCCTACATGGTACCTAAAACATGGCAGTGACGCACACGCAAATAGCACTGGAGGGCTGTAAGCAAGCTGTCCCTGAAGGATGTGGGAAAGGGAAAGGCCTTAGAGAAGGGCATTGTTCCCTGAGAGAAGGGAGGCAGAAGTATAGTGATTATAAGGATAATGGTTGCTAACTATGGGCAGGTCTTGTGGTAATCACTTTACAGGTATCACTCACTTAATGATATTCACTTATTACCTCCAGGAATAAAATGGGCTCGTCAACTAGCAATCCTCGCTGCTAAGCCCCAGGCAGCTCTCCCCCGGGTGGGCTCTGAAGGTGTAGGTCACAGTCGTTCTATGCAGCTGTATCTACCTAGCAGGGAACACTTCCATTACCAGTAACATTTTCTCTTCCTGGATAGAAACAGACTGCTGAAGACCGTCAATGTGGAAAGGACCAGTGTGTTGCGATGAGCAGATTAATTTTTGAAAGCACCAAGACTCGGCTTTTGTTTCGCTTGGTGCTGACCTGCCTTCCAACCTTTTCATTTTCTCTTTGACAGGTCAGTTTGGCTCCTCTGTGGCCTCATACTTCCTCTTCTTGAGATGGATGTATGGGGTAAACATGGTTCTCTTCATCCTGACGTTCAGCCTCATCATGTTGCCAGAGGTAAGAATTGGACTTATCATTTACCAAAAAAACAAAACAAAACAACAAAAAAAACTAAAATGTGATCACTGTCCTAGAAAATTTATTTTCTCTTTTGAAGAATAGCACAATTAACTGGCCGATACCCACTCTTGGAGTCCAAGTGCTTGCAACAAGGTTCATCTTCAAAATGGTACCCATGGGCCAGAGATCCTAATCCTTGCTCCAGAGGGTAGATGAGCCTCCTGAAATCATACATAAAATGCTGTGTGAATGTTTAAATGTACATTTTTATGTGGAAAGGTTCATGGCTTCTATCAGATTCCCAAGGTGGTCCCTGTGCTCAAATGTTAATTGCTCAAAAGGAAGGCTTTCACACCTTGTGAATCGTATTTATTTTGCCAAGTTTGCTTTGAAAAACATCTTAGTGGGCGCCTGGGTGGCTCAGTGGGTTAAGCCTCTGCCTTCGGCTCAGGTCATGATCTCAGGGTCCTGGGATCGAGTCCTGCATCGGGCTCTCTGCTCAGCAGGGAGCCTGCTTCCCTCTCTCTCTCTGCCTGCCTCTCTGTCTACTTGTGATCTTTCTCTGTCAAATAAATAAATAAAATCTTTAAAAAAAAAAAAAAAGGAAAACATCTTAGTGCAACTCAGGACATTTAGTTTTTATATCAAAGAAACACAAAGTGAGCAATTGTTTCCAGATGTAAAATGAGATAAACCAGACCTCCCCCCTCCCAACCCACGCACATGTACACATACAGTAGGGGTCTTTTAGGATCAAGGGCAGAGAGGAGAGGAAAACAGATAGTGCTTCCAGACTGAAGAAGAAGGCAAAGCCCTGAGTTAAAAGGCGGCATGAGGGGGTGGTGGGAAGAGTCCATCAACTAAGGCCAAGAAGCAAGACGAGGGTTGGAGCCTTTATCCATAAGAAGTTAAAGGACTCTGACCACTGGATGCTTACTGGTACAAAAGGCAGGTTAGGCTTTACTCAAGCTACAAAGGGTATTTTCAGGTACCATTATTTCAAAGCCAGTTTGTTCAGAACATCATTGCCCACAGCCAAAACTAAGTGTTTTGAGGGACTTGTTATCCTCATGGTTTTGAATCAGGGCCAGTTTCTGTATCAAGCCTCCCCACGGGTATAATTCCTTACATTCATGACAAGTTTTAGCTTTTAAAAGAGCAAAAACACTTTCACTTCTTTTATTTCCTGAGCCTCACAACAAATTCATGATGTAGATTATAGAAGAGTTTTCTTTCCCCATTTACAACTGTGGAAACAGAGTCACACATTGCTTATTGGGCTTAACTAGTATCCCAGAGTGAGGTTTTTTTTTAATGCTGTTCTGGGTGTAGTACCATGATTGCACCCTTCGTCCCAAGATTTTGCAACCTAATCCATTAGTTTTAGAATCCCTGAAGTAATTCGGAAGGTTCTAGGGCTAGGAGACCGTGGACACAGATCAGAAGTCCTGTAGAGTTCATCTCTCAAGTGAAAACTTCAGACAGCGAGGCAGAATGCATGTCATCACCTTCAAATTAACCCCAGCTTTCTTTCTGCTCATCTCTCTAAGGAACCCTGAAACTTCTTCACTGGCTATCATGACGCCCCGTAGTGTTAGACTCAGGGTCTCTGAAGTTCTGTCAGCCACGCTTGCTCATTCCCCCATACCGCACAGCCGCCATGGAAATGGAAGGTTGTGGCTGGTTTGCTCCACCTCTAGGAGATTACAGAATGCCTGAGAGAGAGGGCAGGGAGCCAGTCTGTGTCCGATGGGATATAGTCCTAGAACGAAGAAGCGTATTGTCTTTTGGATGCTGTCTTTCAGGTTTGTGTAAGATGCTGAGAGGCATCCTGTTTTCCAGGCAATGGTTCCCAGCTCCAGCAAAAGAACAAAGGAGGACGTGCTAGCTTTGCAGCAACACCAGAGGCCAAGGCTGGTCCCTTCCCCGGAGCTCAAAGCTCCATTTTGCCTCTGCTTGCTCCTACCAGCCTCATTCAGCATTCCTTGTAGGTAGATGCCCTTTTGCCCAAAGTTCCTGTGTCCCTGGGCAAGCCTGAGACCTTAATCTTCTTTGTCTTTTGTGGCCCCCCACTTTGGGGTGAGACAGCATGGCTAGGGCCCACCTTCTGCTCTGTTCGATCCTAGGAAGCCAAGAAGCTTCCATGAAACCCGTGCCTCTTGTGCGGAGGGTAGATGGAGGGGTTGATATCCAGCCCTTGCCCAGGCAGGCTTGGCACCCAGGCTTCCAGCCACAATCATCCTCCACCTCTAGCCCAAGGGAAGGAAAGTTTTCATGTTACACAAGAAGTGGCATCTGCTTGGCAAGCCATGTGCCTGCCCTGGGGCTAGAGGGGTGCTTTTTCTAGTTCTCACCAAGACACCTGCTGGAGCCCTGTTCTTGCTCTCTCACTTGTTGGCTCTGCCTCTAATAACTCCTCTTTGAGTCTGGTAGCATCAGATGAGGGCAGTAAACCTGAATTAGTGGTAAAGCAAATATAATGAGGGTGCAATCTTTCCTCCTGTTTGACACCCTCAAACTGACGAGCGATTCACTTGAGTCTTCTCTTCCTTAACATGAAGGACAGAATCTCCCTCCACCTCCACCCCTAGGAGGTAGCCCCATAGGAAGATGTGGGTAGTATGTTTTTTGTTGTTTTTTTGAACACTCTAGTTTCCCCTGAGGCCTCTGTTCTCCTCTCCAGACCTCCCGTTAAGAAAGACCAGTTAGGAGGTGGTGGTGGGTAGTGGGGCTGCTCAGCAAGCCTCTGGGCAATGTGGTTGGCCAACTGCTGGTGGTCCACTGAGCTCAGCATGCAGGGCCCTTAGCACTGTCTTTGTTCTTCACTCTGGATTTAGTAGTCGATTCCCAGAAAATGGGACCCCACGTGGAGACCCACAGAGTCGCCATGAAAATGTGTAAGAAGTGCTTTTAAACAAAACCATTTGTGATCACATGTGTGGCTCAGACTTTGTTTCCAATTATTAACTGCCTTCTTTGCTTCTCTGTATAGTACCTCTGGGGTTTGCCATATGGCAGTTTACCTAGGAAGACAGTTCCCAGAGCTGAAGAGGCATCTGCGGCTAACTTTGGTGTGTTGTACGACTTCAACGTAAGTGTCTGCACACAGCTGTGGTGGTAGGAGGATGGATTTTTGCTTACTCTCTGAAACCCCATGGCCTCTTCTTCTGGCGTAGTTGAAGGTCTAAAGAGATATGTCCCTGCCCCTGCTAAAACAAAAACAACAACAACAAAACCAGGAAAGGATGGAAGGAAAGGAAGAAGGTGGTGGGGGTGGGGTGGGGGGGTGGGCAGGCAGGTAGGAAGGAAGTGAGTGAGGGATGGGATAAGAGAGAAAGGATTGGCTTAAGAATATGATAACATGATTAAATGGGAATATAGACTGAATGAAGGTGAACTCAAAGATCAGAATCTTGAAACAAATACCTTTATCTCTGGCTTTGGAAAAAGAACAAAGGGAGAGTTTGCAAATGCGCCTTTTGAAAAATCTTGTAGGATTCTTAGGGAATTAGAGCTTTAACAGTTTTTATTAACCTCTTTGTTTCCTAAACAAATCAATTTAGTATTCCTGAATAGTTAGTACTATTCTGTAATTATTCATTAAATAAAGCTAGATACTAAATACTAAATAGTACTGGATTCTAACTTGTAAATGATACTAAAATGAGTACACTCGCTTGTGGTACCCGTATGAACATTCCTTGATTGTAGTACAAGGATAGTATTACTCTTTGAGCTGCCCTGGGTAGGGATTATTGTTACGGCAGAGACTCATTTTTGCCCATTGAAAAATTATTTCAGAGTCTGATTCAAGTCTGTGGCAGCTCCTCAGTTCCACACATTGTCTTTCAAAATAGCAACCAGATCAGAGATGTTTGAAAGTGTAGAGGATAAGAAAGTAGCAAGGTGGGAATTGGGGAATTGATAATTCAAGGAATTTTTGCAGAGTAGCAAATGAGAATAAGATTTTATGAAGCCTGGGGAATAAAAGAAGGAGAGAAAAACTAATAAACACTCTTCATGGCCATAGTATTGATAGGTTTATTTCACAGATGTTTTGAATTCTACCTTCAAGCCCCCTAAATTGTGAGCTTCCTAAAGAGGGGATCATATCTGTTACACGTTCTTTGAAGCCCTTATATGATACTCAACCAACAGAGGCTTCATGAATCTTACTGACCGACAATACTGAGTAAGGGGAGGATTGGTAGAGCCTTGAGGTAAGAGCCATAGAAATTAATTTATGTGAACAATTCCAGAAAATGTAAACTTCAGGAAAGGTTCCTGGTCTCTGACTAAGCCAGGCAAGCTAGAGAATGAGCAGAAGGCATGATGTCAGCCCCGATTTTTGTGGCATTTGGAATCTCTAGTCATCCCTGTTAGTTCACTTTTCATTTCAATTCATCATTTGTTTATTGAATATAAACACGCACTGGTTTTACAAAGATACAGGTGACATGATTCTTGACCTCAAGGCACTCATGATGGTAGAAGATAGTCAGTCAAGTAGAATACCACATGTTATATGGTACGTTAGCAAAATAGACAAAAAGACACAGGGGAGCCCTGAGTAAGGGGTTGTTAATATTGCCTGTGAAGGTCTAGGATTTGTGAAGGATATGACCTCTGAGTTAGATTTTACTTATCTTTTATTTCTACTCTCTATTATCCCCCATACATCTCTCTCTTTCCCTCCCTCCCCTCTCTCTAAATTTCAAATAATTCTTTACCAACGCTCACCTGAAACTGCTTTTACATCTCATTCTCTTATTAGCAAGGTAATAAACTTCCAGTCTGGTTAATAAGAACAGGAACTAATAGTATCATTGACATTTTCTGATGTTTGAGTCAAACTAGAGAAAAGAAGAACTGAAAGAATGAACAAAAGTTGGTTTTTTTTTTGATTTGTAAATATTTATTTAATGAGGTTTAAGCACTTAGAAATTTGTCAACTAACCGAAATAAAAAAGTTGGGGGGCAAAGTCCATTAGGGATTTGAGAGATATTAGTCAGCTGAGGAAAACAAAGAGGAAGGTAGCTCTAGGGGCAAACCAGAGGCTCTAACAGGTGGATACAGGAGGAAGCCAGGAGAGAGGGCTTGGGCAATACATGGACTTACCAGGATTTTATTACTGCTCTTGGGAGCTCTCTCATGTTCAGTTTGGTGAATTACTACTTGCAGGTGGATAGAGGAAGGCAGGAACTGGAGTAGTCTGTGATACACATTTTCCTTCATAATTCCAGGCCTGCCTAAAAACAGTTCTAAAGCAATAAGAGAATATAAATGGTCAAGAAAAAAATAAGAAAGTCATTAAAGTGGTGTTATTCATTTATAGCGTTTCTTAATTTTTCTGCATACTGTAACCACTCAATTATTTGGCATGTATCATAAAATAAGAGATTTTTAGAGATAGGATTGCTTTTAGAGCTCTTCCATCCCATGTTTCACATTATAAAATGAGGGAAATTTTGAGTCACAGAAGCATGTTCAGGGTCTTATAGCTATCGAGTGGCTCCTAATCTCGTATTCTTTCTATTCCTAGTATTCTATCAATAATTTTGTTGCATTGATTTCCAACAGCATTCTCACTGACTGTTTCCAGAACACAGACCAACTCCCTTCAATGCCGTAACTATCTCAATGGGGAGAAGGAGTTGAAACAGATCCAATCTTCACCTTTCATAATAAACACACAATTTGCGAATTAGCTTCTCAAGTAGAATGATGGTAGGTTTAAGATTTACTCTTGCCCAAGGTCTCTACTTGGTCCTCTGAATAATGACCTCATAGAGGTTCCCGCCCTGTATTGTAAGATGACCTAACCGGACAGCACAGAGTTCTGTTGTGGCATCATGGAAGAAATCATCTACTGGGTATCCTTGAGCTCCCTAAAAACAGAATTCTGCACTTCCAAAGAGCCAGAGATGCCAGGGGGAAAAGACATGTTTCAGGCCTGGGGCAGAGCTAGCAAGTGCCTGAACAGTCTAATTAAGCCATGGGTTGGTTTGTTGCATCCAAGGTTAACATACCGGCTCAGCTAAGCAATGCCGTATAGATGTAGGTGAAGAGAAGCAGAAAAAGATTTATAGAACACTGTGAAAGAGATGCAAGCATGACCTCTTGTGGCAGAGGAGCTTATATGATGTGAAGGGTCCGAAAACCTTTGAGGTGGAGGCTGGGAAGTGGAGTCTCCTCTTGGAGACTCAGGACTTCTCTCTGGACAGCCCCCACAGCCCCCAAAGTATCTCTCTGGAGCTCAGTGCTCTGTCATTTGTAAACACATGTCACAACTTGGGGCACCTGGGTGGCTCAGTCCGTTAAGTGTCTGCCTTCAGCTCAGGTCATGATGCCAGGGTCTTGGGATCAAGCCCTGCATTGGGCTCCCTGCTCAGTAGGGAGTCTGCTTCTCCCTCTGCACCAACTTGTGCTTGCTCTTTCTCTCGCTCTCAAATGGATAAATAAAATCTTAAAAAAACAAACAAACCCACATGTCATAACTCATCAAAATTCCCTTTAATTAATAGTAGACTCCCCTGGGGGGGAATAATATATGTTTATAAAAAATAAAATTATTAAAAAACAAATAGTAGACAAATGGCATTTGATATTGGCTAGGTTAGCCAGTCTTATGGCTGCTCAAAGTCACGGTCTACCAAGCACTGTATTTTTGATCCTGTTTTTGAGTACCTCCTGATGGGGCTTACTAATCTGGAGGAAAACATATTTCATTAAAATGGTAAATAGGGAGATTGTCTAGTATGTGTGCTGTGAATTGAATTGGCAGATATGGTATTATTTGAAGTAGTAGAATTGGAAGAACAAGTTCAGGTCAGAAGAGGATGTCTTCGTTGGCAAATACTTGGAGACACAAAAATGACGTATGAATGATAAAGAGAAAAGGCTATGGTTTTGATGTTCTTGTGAGCGAGAGGGAGGAGCTGAGGTGGCATTTGGAAGCAGCTTGAGCTGGTATCAGATGGCGAGATCATTTGGGTAAAGATTTGAGTTGTGAATAAAGGGAAATGCACTCAGTTTTCCAGCTTGTGAACATCTTGTACATTGCACGTGGATAAATGGTGAGTGAACTTTGCCTCCCCTTTTCTGTCGGTCAGCATAGATGTTGGTGGGATGAAGCCCTAGAAGGGACAGAAGAGGACAGTTAACACCTATCATGTTAAGTAGGCACATACATTAAATTTCATCTTCATAGCAACCCTTCAGAATGAAGATCGATAATTTTTTTTTTTAACATCGTATAGGCTGTTTAGTTTGTTTTTGTTTTTTTTTAAAGATTGTATTTATTTATTTGACAGACAGAGATCGCAAGTGGGCAGAGAGGCAGGCAGAGAGAGAGGAAGGGAAGCAGGCTCCCTGCTGAGCAGAGAGCCCAATGCAGGGCTTGATCCCAGGACCCTGGCATCATGTCCTGAGCTGAAGGCAGAGGCTTTAACCCACTGAGCCACCCAGGCGCCCCATGAAGATCAATAATCTTCTTATAGGGGTGCCTGGGTGGCTCAGTTGGTTGTACATCAGGCTCTTGATTTCTGCTGAAGTCATGATCTTGGGGTCCCAGAATGGGCCCTGCGTTGGGCTCAGCACAGAGTTTGCTTTTATCCCTCTCCCTGTGCTTCCGCACATCCTCACCTTCTTTCTCTCTAATCTTTCTCATCTTTAAAGATTTTATTTATTTGACAGAGAGAGGGAGAGTGTGCACACAAGCTGGGGGAGGAGCAAAGGGAGAGGGAGAAGGAGGCTCCCCACTGAGCAGAAAGGCCAATGCGGGGCTCCATCCCAGGACCCCGGGATCATGACCTGAGCCAAAGGCAGAGACTTAACCAATTGAGCCATCCAGGAGCCCCAGTAATCTTTTTATAGTTGAGGGAATTTGGACTCAGAGAGGTTGGTCAGTTTGCCAAACACAGCACAGGTAATTAAAGGAGGTACTGAAATTCCAGGTAAAATGGGGCTGATTTTAATGTCACGTTGTTGGTTTACTTCTAACACACCCCAAGCTGATTCCTTCTGCCCTGCTCACTTGTGCTGTATATCGTCCTTGAAGTCTGTCCTCAGAGGAAACTGTTGCAGACATT